TTTTATATTATATTATAATTATATTATTACTAAAATATTTATTAATTAAATATAAGAAGAATTACACTGTTTATTGTCCATTGATTCTATTAGATTTTCGTGGCCAAAATATCTTCTCAGATGTCACATGTTTTTGAGAAAAATAAAAAATTGTGGGTAGGTTTTATATAGGTTTTATAATTAGAACATTAATTACTAGTTGGAACTTACTGGAAGGAAGAACTACGGCGGGTAAGTGCAACCTACGGCTAAAAAATAAGGTTAAAATATCATTTTAGTCCTTCAATTTTAGATTTTTATTTTAAAATTGTCTCTTAACTTCAAAAAATATTAAAATTATCTTTAAATTTTCATTTTCAATACCAAAATAATTTTTACATCAATTAAATGGATACGTGGTAAGTTGTTAGAAAATTATACTTTTTTTTGAAAAAAAATACTAATGTGAAAAGAAAAGACACAGGTAAGTTGATGAGGTACACTTTTTTCTTTTTTTTTATGTGAGAATTTTAATTTTAACAAATAAATAAGGAAACATTTAATTGATTAATTAAAATCATTTCCAAAATAACCTTCTTCTCCATTATTCTCATGTTCCTCTTCACTCTTCCCCTCTTTCTCTCTCTTGTCCTCGGGCCATCATTCCTCCTCCATCTCCTCCGATCTCTCTTCCCCTTTCATTTTTCCAGTTCATCCCCTTCCCCATTTCATAAGTTTTATATAAGTAAATTCTGGTACCCTAAAGAGAAGAAAGAAAGGCACACAAAGACATTCTCCTTGAAGAAGCATATGGGTTTGGAGAAACTCTCAAAAGGCAAAAGATCGTCTTCTCCAAAACGTCGCCTTATATATATCTCCTTGTTTCCATATTTCAGGAGACATAGAAAAAATAAAAATAAAATAAAAAAGTCAAACAGAAACATGGAAATTCTTAGCTCTGATATACGTTGATTTCTGCAATGGCGAGACCTAATCAAGAAGCAATCGACACTTTTAGTAACACAACCGGCATACCTGAAGCTGATAACAAAAGAAACCAAAATAGAATCAAAATCATCAAGATTAGACAAGAGTGTTTCCCTACCTTGAGGCTTCCAAATCGAGTTGCCGATATCATTGATGGCCTGCCTAATGATTTGAGCTTCTCCTACGTGACGAAGGCGCTAATCTCGAGAGACTCATTGACAGCACAAGAAGCAACACTCCGGATCACGACAATCTCCTTCTTCAACCCAGTTCCGAACTCCTCCAAATCTTTACGATAGGAGTCTATCATGACTCAGACTTCTCTGCAAGGGTCTTCACTAGGCTGCCGAGACTCCAAGTGATGCTGGAGTTGGGAGTTGCTTTCGAATCGGAGGTTTGGGGATCATCAGAAAAGATGGACTTGAAGAAATCCATAGAAACTGGAGAAAGTAACCCCAAAGGATCTTCTTTCTGCTGAAATTAGGAACATAACAAAGATCTAGAAGTGGGAGGAAGAAAGAGAGAGGGGTTGGAGTAGATCGAGCAGAGAGAGGGATCAAGAGGTTGAACATTAGCCTTATCTTCATTATATTTTTTAATTTATGTCTACTTTATCATTTTAAATTTAATAAAAATAACAACTCATCGTTATTCACATATTTTGTTTTCCACGCCATTAGCTTAAAAAAATAGAAGATTGATTTTTTTGGTAATTTAATGGGTCACCTGTACATATAACTAACGGAATGATTATTTTAAAATTAAAAATAAAAATTTAAATATAATTTAAATATTTTTTAAAATTTTAAAACAAATTTAATATCAAAATAAAAAATTGAGGGATGAAAATCATATTTTAACCAAAAAAAAAATAAGAGCAGTAATGGCGCGGATAGCCTTCTCGTGCCTATCTCACTCTGCTCACGGAGACAAGGACTTTGTGGGGAATTTTATCAAAACAAATCCTCCCCGTTCTAATCACAACGTATGGATTTTTTTTCTTTTAACACCAGACAATGTCTTATATAATAAGACACAATTTTTTTTTTAATTTCTCTTAATAATCTTAAAATTTTAATTTAAGAGTTTGAGCATTGAGACTTAAATTCTTAACAATCAGGGGAATATCTCGCAGGGGACATATGGATTTTCATGATATTCCTACTATGTTTGATAATGATAATTTAAAATTTTAAAGTATAATTTAAGACATGTTTGGTGTAACAATTAAAATAAGTGAATATCAAATAGTAAATCATGGATAATAGATAGGAAATCATAATAGTGGATAACGAATGGTGGTTAATAAATAATAAATAACATATGTGAATACATATAATAAATAATGGATTTTGAGTGATATAATTATTTAATTATATAATGATTAATAATTGTTATTTGACATTAAATTACAAATAAGGACATATTTAAAAATAATTAATTGTATATTTTTATATTTTTTATTATTAAAATTATTAATTTTATTAAAATAATAATAGAAAAATATATAAGTAAAATAAAATATAAAAGTGTGTGATCACTTATATTTTTATCAAAGAAAAAGTAAAATTTTAATCATTTTATTGAATTAGTAAATTTTATTTATTAAGTTAATATAAATTTTTTTTATGATAAGTTAGTATAAAAAAATTAAAAATATAATAATTACTTAATGTTATTAAAAAGAAAAATGAAATCAAAATTAATTAGATAAGTATTTAACTTAAAATCATGAAAAAAAATTAAAAAAATTAAAAAGCATAAATTTATTAATAAAATTAAAAAAATTCAAACCAATAGCAATTTGGTAACTTTTTCAATTTTTTAGTAGTTTAAACACTAGCAATTATTTTACTAGTTTTAAACTACTAAATTAAAAATCTTATCAAACAATTAATTTGCAATAACTTTAAAATAAATAAATTTATCAAATATTTATCTTATAAAAATTTAGACAAAGCTATTAACTACCATCCCAAACTACCATACCAAATCACCCTTACTCAAAAATACAGGGTGCATATGAGAAATGAGATTATTTTTTTCTATTTCGAACATTGGAAAATTATGGGGAAATGGGGTATTTTTTTTAAGTATTTAGTGAGAATTAAACTCTCAACTAAATAAATTCAAACACTAATGTTTATGATTGAATTGCTCGACCTAAAGGTTGGTTGGAGAAATGAGATTAATTGTTGTGTTATTGTTCACGTTAAAAACTAGTTGTACTTTTTCTTTTGGTGAAAGGGGAGAGGAAAAAATCTTTTTATTTAGTTAAAAAATTAGTAAAGCAGAGACAAAAGAAGTTTATTTTATTTTATTGTTTAATTTCTTTATTCTTTTTAATATATCCAGATGAAAGAAGATGAGAAGAGGGAATATATATTGTATTTTTTCATTCCTCTATCATTCCTCTATTTCCTTCTATCTAGTGCAGAGTATATTTTTCATTTCTCTTATATTTTCCTAAAAATTTAAAGAAAATAAATTTTTAAATATTTTAAAAAGACCATGTGGACTTCGATCGATAAAAGGGTAAAAAAATGCATGTCATCAAATTAAGAGATTAAAAAATTACAAAAAAAACTTATTAAAAGAAGTGCAAAAAAATTATTCAAAACAATAAGAAAGTGCATCTAGACAAAATTTAGCCAACAAATTTAGCACTAAAGCTTTCGTTTTTTTTTTTTTAATGAAGTCCTCTAATAATTGACGTAGGGTTTTGACACAAAAAAAAAAAAAAAAAAAAACAATAATTGAGCTGGGACCCTTTGAAGCAGGTCTTATCAAAAACCAGTACCACACACAAAAAAGTTTGATAAAAGTTTATTGTCTTGCCGGATGCTTAATCTACCCTGGATTATGCATACTCGTTCTTTTGTTTTTCTCACGCAAAGGGTGCTAGAATCATCCATAATTAATTTTCTATTAATGCCATAAGCGAGCCGAGTTGAGTGCAATAATCTTGGATTATTTATATTAATGAAGTTTCTCTAATTAATTTGGATAAGTTTCATGTTCCCTTGTATTATCATTTCACTATGACAATCATATGTTCTGCAACAAGTCATACATTGCATTCATGTATGCAAATTCACTGGGGCCAATAACCTTGTTAGAGAAGAGAGTACACATTGGTGCAAAATAGGATTCCTGTAAAAACATTGGTATTGTATGCTTTCTCATATATATGTATATACAAAGGTGAAAAAGATTCTTCCTGCTTCTACAGTCCGGAAGCAGTCTTTGTCCTAGCCAAAAATGAGGGGGAAAAAAAAAGAAGCAATCTCTACAAACAATCCTTGCACTTGCACCAACCATAATCTAAAGCCATTTTTTGTAGACCAAGATATATAGTCTCTTGACAATTTGGCCTACTGTAAAATATCCGATGAAGAGCACAACCAAAAACCCAAAATATGACAGTGGTAGCTCAACGAACTCCATAATCTCTCCCACAATTGTGAAAGGTATTGCTATTCCTATAGCAGAAATCAGGATTGTTGAACATATTACAGGCCATGAGGCAACCTCCTGAATGAAGGGAATTTTCTCAGTCCGAATCAAGTGGTAAATCAGTGTCTGCATGAGAAGCCCTTCAACGAACCAAGCTGTACGGAATAATGACGTATCTTCTTTATTGAGAACCCCATAATAGAACACAAGGAACAAAAGGGTAACTACATCACAAATGGTGCAAACTGGGCCATTCCACAAGATGAACATGGGTAAACCTTTCACAGACCAATATTGAGGGGTTTTGACATAATCTTCCTCCATTTTGTCCCATGGAATTGCAATTTGACCCAGACAAAACAAGAAGTTCTGTGTGAGGAGTTGCTTTGGAGTCAGTGGCTCGTATCTGAGGAAGAGGGTTGCTATCATAAGTGAGAGGACACTTCCAACATTGGCTATGACTGACATTTTTATGTATTTCATGGTGTTGCCAAAAGTTAGACGACCTTGTTCAACTCCAGCAACAAGGACGTTTAGGTCTTTCTCAAGTAAAATGATGTCTGCCAAGTCTTTCGCAACAGATGCTCCTGAGTCAACTGATATACCTACATTAGCAGCATCTAATGCAAGTGCGTCATTTATTCCATCTCCCAAGAACCCAACAATGTGATCACCTGTCTGCAAGGATTCTACTACTCTGAGTTTCTGAGAAGGTGTAAGCCGAGCCAGTACTGTTGCCCTTTTCACAGTCTCATGGAAAACATCTGAGTTGAGTAGCTCAAGGTCTGGTCCTGTAGTTACATGGGTCGTTCTGATGCCTACTTCCTTGCAAATCTTTATTGCAAGGGAGAGAGAATCACCAGTCAATACTTTTGCTTTTACTCCCTTCTCAGCTAATCTCCATAGAGCTTGCTTCGCTGAGTCCTTAGGTGGGTCGAAGAATGTTATAAGACCAAGGAAAACCATGTCTGATTCAATGGTATCTACATGATCCATGTTCTGAAAAGCTCTCTTCTGTAATATATGACACAAAACCGTTATATAAGCAACACATTTCACAAAGAGCCCAACCACTGGGTGACTAGGTTTATCGTTCTTGTCTTTTAATTCATAAAATGACATTTAAATTGATTGCAAGTAGGAGTCAAAATTTTGGGACTAAAAGGTGAATTTAACATTATAAACTTGCAATTATAACAAAACAGAAAGAGAGAGCATAAATAGAAGAAAGGAAAGATGATAGTTCAATGACATAACTCACCATTTCTAGACTTTTCATGGCAACTCCTATAACACGTAAACCCTCATTGCTTAGTTCCTCCACCACATTTAAAATCCTCTGGTTGTCTTCAGTAGAGAAAGTTGTGATCTCACCCCTATCAAAATGCTCAACAAAAGAACAGACTTTGATTACTTCTTCAAGTGCTCCTTTTGTTACCATGACTCTATCTAGCAGTTGCCTGTTGTCGGCATTAGATTGTTTTTCTAAAACAACAGTTACTCTTCTTCTCATAAAATCAAAAGGGATTTCATCTATCTTTCTCCATCTGGATGGTTGAAACCTGTATCCATTTGTATACACATAGGCCAAAATTGCATCATCTAGAGGATACTTCTGGTCAGTCTTGAAGTAAGAGTTTAGGAAGGCAAAATGCAAGACCTTTTCTCTTGTTGAGCCCCAGGCATCAAGATGACTGACCATGACTGCTCGGTTCATTGTCAGAGTTCCAGTTTTGTCAATGCATAGGATATCCCTGCCAAAAAAAAAAAAAATCCAGAAAACATTTAACATTAAATACGGATGATGAATCAGAATTACAAATGCAAAAAGTCAAGGAACCAAGTATATAAACACAGACATTATGAACAAGACCAGATACGATATGATTAAGCTTTCTAATAATACGGCATCAAAATGCAGCTACTTGCTTCAAGAAATCAGTAAATCCTCTGTTATTTTATGGTTATAATGAATAGGCACAATGAAAAGCACTTCAAGGGGGCAAAAAAATTTCATCTGTGATTGTCTGCACCTCTAAGTGACTGAATGTAGAATGCAACCTAACCTCATCTCAGAGATATTGATGACAGTTGTTGTTTACAATGTTCCCCCTTTAGAATGAGATCAAGCTTTCAACATTTCACAAGCATTTGTGCACTCTAGCACCCATATGTCATTTTTCCTTTAGAAAAATTTGAGATTGAATAAAATTTTCCAAATTCTAAATGACAGCATTCCATGTCAAATTGGCTGAGTCTCTATTGTGACTAATGGCTATAGATGATCAGCTGATTTGATATGTTTCAACCATCCAATCCTAGCTCTTTTCTGTGAACATTTCAAGAGATACCTTGAGATGATTTGCGAAGCTATTTTCAGATGCTTCACTTAATGGGTATTCATGACAAGATTTGAACAATGATAGCGATATATAATTGATATGACATGCATCAAATCCTTGACACACATTTATTTTCCAACTTGTTATTGAGGGAGCTTCCATATGTATACGTCTGTCTATCTGTGTACATTTGTCCATGCCTCTCAGGCATTAAGTATGGACATTATCCTTGCAAACATAATGAATTTACCTCAGACTTTAGGTCAGACCACAACTAAGCTTTGGTTCAGCAAATTTAGATATATGTGATTGTATAGATGGAGTAAATCTAGAGAAGACTTACATGGATCCCATGTCTCGTATGGCAGATAAGCTTTTGACAACGCATCTGTCCCTGGCCATAGCAAGTGCTCCTTTTGCAAGACTTGTGTTGACAATTAGGGGAAGCATTTGAGGAGTAAGTGCACAAGCAACCGATATACCAAAAAGAATGCTCTCACTCAAATCATAAGATGCAGAGTAATCCGCTGCTATTATGATTGCAACTACTAGTAGCATGACAACAATGAGCACATAAGATATTGTCCTGACTCCCTTCTCAAAGCTATTTGGTGGTTTCTGCTTTCCAATATTTGAGAAGCTGGTGCTTATATAGGTTTTGGATCCAGTGGAGACAACTAGACCTGTTCCAGAACCTGATACCACATTGGTTCCCTGAAATATTGATCAAAACTGGTATATATCTCAGCATACAACATACTAAATTACATCATCAACCATGTGGTCTGGTGATAGAGTTTATTATGCTCTTAGCCACAGATCTAGAGTTCAATCCCTAGTCTCTACAAACCAAAAATAAAATAATAAAAAAATAAAATAAAAAACAACATGCTAAATTACTAATAATCTAAGACTACCAAATAATAGTCCAATAGAAATCCTTTAGATATTAGTTCAAGTAGGCCTGCATCAAACATACTTTGATTTAATGTTAAAAACAAGTAAATGCAGAAACAGACTTTCAAGAAAAACAACAAGAATTCCATTATATAGGCTAGACAACTGTGAACAAACAGCTTAATGGGTAGACATCAGAAGGCAAAAATTGATTTTCTATTCCTGCCACTCCTAAACAGTATACTGAATGTTAATTTGAAAATAATTGGGCAGCAAGTCCTATAGTTCCTGGGCATAATGAATTTAAACAAAATTTAGGTTTCCTTTTTTCTTTTTTTCTTTTTTTTTTTTTCTCTTATTGGTAGCGTGAAATCCTAACATGGAAATATTATCCTCTGACTATTGAGAACCTTCAGCAGGAAAAACCTCAAAATTCATATTTTAGTACTTTTATTTGTGGGCAGAATCGCTAGCCATTGTTCTAAAAGTAAAGATTATTTCCACAGTAAAAATAGAAGACTGGAAGGCACAATCTAACTAACCGTGAAACAAATGTTTTTTAAATCTAGCAGAGGGGTGCTCCGGTCTTCTCTCACGTCAGCTGTTTTATCAGTGGGCCAAGACTCTCCTGTTAATGATGATTGACTGCTCCATTATGCACAAATGTCATAAGTTTTCAGCCATTAAGCCACAGAGAAAAATTCAAATCCCCATTCAAAAGCAGCAAAGCGTTTCAGGAACTACCTTACAACCAGGTGTTTTGAAGTTAATAGTCTCACATCACCAGGAAAAAGGTCACCAGGCTCGAAAATCACTATATCTCCTGGAACAACATCTCTTTGATCAATTTGAACTACCAGTTCAGTCTGAACAACTCTTCCTGCACATCTTTGCACTTTAACTGGGCATCTTACAAATTCTGAAAGTTTCATAGCTGCTTTTGAACTGCTATATTCCTAGGTAGTATACTCAATATTAGTTAAGACTCTTACAGAAATTTAAATGCACGACATTCATTTGATAGAGCAAATAGTTAAGAAATACCTGGTAGAATCGGAGTGACACACTGATAAAGACTAAAATCAGCATAATGCATCCATTTGGATTGTCACTGGTAATGTATGAGAGTACTGACAATACAATTAGAATGATATTGAAGGGATGAAAGAAGGCATTCCACAGAAGATGCCACCAGCTTGGAAAAGTATATTCGAGAGGAACATTTGGGCCATTTTCTTTCAATCTCCTTTCAGCTTCAGTGAAGCTCAACCCTGTGGAAAAAAAAAAAAAAAAGATGAGCAAGGACAAAATGGAAAAGGAAACAAGTTAATATGACAAGGAATTGTATTAGTAAATCTAATAAAACTTAAACTTTATATCTCCAGCTTTAGTAAATCTAATTAGTAAAACTTTAGTAAATCTAATTAGTAAATCTAATTGGCGCAAATGAAAATGATTTTGGACAAAATTCCACAAAGAGATAATATATCTCCAGCTTGCTTTTCTGCTTTGATTAAGTATCTCATATGACTAGGAAACTAACAATAAATGAATGAGCACACTTATTTTGCTAACAACATTAAATCCCAAAAATGGACTCACCCCTCTCTGTTGATTGAACATACTCAAAAACTAAATCTTTATCAGATTGTGCCAAGGCATACAACCATGAATAAACTTTCTCTTCTTCTTCTGTCCGCGAACCCCCATCAATCTTCTCTGCAAATCTCCATAGAAAAGCAGAACACATCAAATTCAACTCAAAAAAAAGAACCCATAAAATAAGTGACAAAACACGACTCACCTCCGGACCTAAATTGCCGCCGGAAGAACCCAAAAACAGAACTGAGAAATCCATCTTGTCGATGGGTATTGGCATTATTCACAAGATTTTGGCGATTGGAGGGGAGGGAGTCCCGTTGGTTGGATTGAGTTAAAAAACTGAGAAATCTGGGTATCCCCATTTGCGCAGTAGGATGGAAGTGTAGAAATGGGTGTGGGAAAATATGGGACAGAGACAAAATGAGGAGAAAATAAACATTGTAGATTGGTTGAGGTTGAAGATTTGAAAAGAAGGTAAAGAGAGAGAAAGCAAAATTCTTAGTTTTTTTGTGGACGCTGACGGCCAACTAGTGGTGCTTTCCTTCAAACCGTAGCCTTTGGTTCCTCTTCAACTACCAGACTTCAGATGACTGTTAGGTGCAGTCTGCTCCTGCTCAAAGAGGAGGGCAACACCAAACCTTCGTTCTCCCCCTTTTTTTTTTTCCTTCTTTTTTTTTTTTAATATCATAAGTTATGCATGAAGATATCCCTCTTTATTTTCAAACCCCTCTATACTGTACTCAAACTTGAACTTGAGTTTTTTTAATTTAGAGTGTTAAACTCTTAATAGTTAACACTCCATTTGGCTTAATCTTTGTTCTTCTTTTCCTTTTTCTCTTATTTTTTCTCTTTACGAAACAAATTACATTGAGAATTATTTCCCCATAATTTAAAGTCATGGAATCACGAGACCAAGTGTTTACTCTTTGTTTTTCTTAGTACACAGAGTAGATAAATAGATAATAATGTCGTGTTCAATCCCAAAGAAAATTTGACTAATATTTATTTATATTATATTTTACTAATTTAGTGGGGAAATTAGCCTTTTTCTTTCTTTCGTTTTTTTTTTTTTTGCCGGTGAAATTAGTTATTTTAATATTTTGTATTTTTCTCGTGTTTTTCAGGTAAAGTTAAAGGTTTCTTTTTAATATTATTAATTAATATTTAAAAATAATAAAAAATAATATTAATTTTATTATTAATACAATGTGAAATATTTTAATTAAATAAATATTAATTTTTAATTTTTTTAATATTAATTAATGTCAAAATATACTATTAAGTTATATTTTAAAGACAAAAAGTTAAAAAAAAAAATTTTAATAACCAAATATCTTAATTTTTAACAATTTTAAATATTTAAGTACCAAGTAAAACTATGACTATAAAAACTTGTATTTTGCATCGAAATTATAAAATTTTAATCATTAAATTAGTAGTATCCTTTTATTTTAAAGGCAAATCCTCTTAATTTCATAACTAGTGTTTTGCTGGCCTGTAAAACACTCAATAATGACTAAGGGTACCTCTTTCTTTTCAAATTTGACCTTAAATTTATTGTCCTACTAATGAAGCCCCTACACTATTGTTAATCCCAGATAAGGCCAAAGATAATGGGGAAAGCTGGAAAGTTGCGTTTATGTCACGACATTGCCCACCAGTTTCAGTATCCTGTGGAAGCTTACGTAGGGCAACATTCAAGAAAAAAATGATTTGTTGCATAAGCTTCCACGTAGAATAAGAAGGTTGACTGAATA